TAGGAGATAATATATTTGGATTACATTAAGCGGCCCTTGTGTTAGTTTGGTGCAGCAGCTCAAGTATTACACTTTCCGTTAAACACTTTTATTTGGAGTAAAGTTGATTGTGGTCTTTACAATTAGAACAGTTCTGATAACAACGGATTGCTGACGAAATATGTAGAGTTAACTTTTTCTATATTATCTTATATAATTTACACTCAGTCTGATATCAGCTGTTTCTTTATTGCTCTTTTTCTTTTAAGCACAGACACACACCGAAACGCTGTCACATTTCTAAATAGCCTCAACAGATGTAGACTTTCACACTGATTTCACGTGTGCTATTCAACACATTCAGTAATCTATCAGCTGTATACAACGGATTTGTCAGAGAAATAATCAGAAATAGTTTGTAGTGAAAGAACCTTATAGGTGTTATTTGATTTCATCCAACCTCAAAGAACTGTAGCAAAACAAAAAAAAAAAAAAACATTAGCTGAGAACTATAGCAACAGCTCTGTGGTTAATGCATGTAACACGAAGGGAAAATAATAATGTAATCAAGATGATGACGATCCACACTACTTTAAACAAATGCGTAGAAGGGAGAACTCCATTAAAACTGGAATGAGTGAAATCGGGAGTCGTGAAAATCCAATTTTCTTGAAAAATTGTTGTAATAGAAATATTTTATAACTTTGAACCGAAAGTAGGGCTGCATGAATCGTTAATTAATGCCGATTTTTTGAGTGTAAAGAATCATTCTTATTGCTACTCGAATTATCATTACCGTTCCGTCGTCTTTCAAATTTGTGTGTGTCTTTTATTGATTTTCTCGACTTTATTGTTTCATGTTTATTGCCATAACTTACAACTTATTTGCCCAAAATCTGTTTCTGTTAATTTCGCATGCCTTCAATATATACTGTAACTGTAAAATCTCAATACGATATTTCTTAATAAATTCCAGGGATTTCGTTCTGTTTATCATTTACCTTGTATTTGCTATTTTTCTTAACACCTTATCATTGGTAGCAGGTCTTGCCCATTAATCGGAAGAACTACATATTTCTTGATTCCAGTAGCTTTTTCAGTTGTGAGGATATTTTTCAGTATATACTGCAATAGAATACATTAGATATTGTACAGAATTGCACTAATGTTTTTCTCTATTTTCATTTTTTTTTAAGGACATTCTTGGAACTCTTAAAAATAATTTGCATATTTTCTGGAAGATATTTTTTGCTTTACCAATGGAATTTTGGATTTCGTTGTTGAACTCTCTTTTGTCAGTTACCATGCTGCTGAGAAATTTTACTTGTAACGTTTTCACTTTTACTTAAAAAAATATAGTAATCCTAACAATGTTATGGGATTTTGCAATGCACACAGTCAGAAACATCAAATGAAATCGCCCAGAAATCGTAATCAGCGACCACAACAACAGAATATGCTTTCTTATTACCATGGCTCTCCCTGCAGTCTGCAATATATATTTGAATATCTTCAAAGAACTATCAAAATACATGGATCTTGAAGTGGAAATCACAAGAATGTGGCACATGAGGACATCAATAATTCCAGTTGTAGTAGGGACCCTCGGATTGATAGGAAAATTTTCCGATAGAGTCTTCGTAGCCCATGCCTTAACGAAATAAAAAAAAAAAGATTGTACTCACAAGTACAGGTCACTCCTTATGAAGAGCTTTATCTATGTAAAATTTGTTTCGTCTTATTTTTTTATTTTTACAAAAATGATCAATGGAAAATATCATGAAGCCATATCTGATTTTAGATCTCAGGTTGGCACTGGATGAAAATGTGTGTACAACAGAAAGCAAAGCAAATAATAATAATAATAATAATAATAATAAAAATAATAATAATAATAATGACTGGTGCACATTTATAAATCATCAGTAGGGAAGATCCTCGACCAAATTGAACTATTCGTGAAGATAGGATGGTGGAATTAATCATATTATGCAGCTATAATTTTCGAAATGTCTGTTATGGTTCACACCAGTCAATATATTTTCTTATCATGTGATAATCAGTCCTGCAGGTGTGAGTTTCGTCCGGTGAGTGCGTACACTGTTCAATATCGTGACCGTCAACATGGAATTCAACGAGGAATACTTTAATTGCCAGTCCATGAATAAATTCATAGATAACAAGCTTCTAATTTTATTTCTCCCATTCGAACGGTTTCGTTTTAATTTGTTCTTTTCCCTTTTGTAGTTAATTAAATTACCAGCGGGAATTGCTTTATTTTTGTCAAATTCTTTCCTTATTTAAATTACTTTAATATCTTGTACCTCGTTGACGATACTTATTTATTTTAGTTCAGTTTATTTGGCGCTAAAGTTGTATATGGACTTGGGCATATAACAGGAAGGAGTTTTTAAATAGTTTAGCCAATATTCATTTTGTATGATTTTTTTCAGTCATTATAATTGTGTTTTTTTCATGTCTTTTTTTTTTTTACTTTTCTCCCTTTTGCTATTTAATTCTTCTTTCTCTCCATTGCATTTCTTTTTTCATTCCATTACATTCATTTTTTCTTTCACTTTTATCATATATTGCTTTACTTTCTCTTTCATTTTTTTTTTTTTATCAAAAATTTTTACTAATTTTCTCTTCCGTAATCAATACATTTTCTTTATTTTTTTATTTTGTTAATCATTTAAATCCAAGCAGACTTATGAAAGATATGGTAGGATTAATGCGCATTGTTTGAGAAAAAGCAAAATACAGTGAAATGAAATGTTGGAAATAGAGGAATATTTTTAATGGAATAATGAAGAAGGTTATTAAATAAAGAGAAGTCTGAAATGTCTGGGACATATAATGAGGATTGAGATCTTGGAGAATTAGACACTACCAGGACATACTGGATGCAGGAAAGTTAGGACAAAACAGCGAGTAAAATAACTAACGATTTGCGTAAATGAAAATCAAAGTAAATAATTTGTATGATATTAAGGACTAACATATGGATTAGAACGTAAAATTATACAAAATTCTGGGAATCCTTGGACGTCTACATCTTGAAGTGTCGTCGTCGTCAACGTTGTTTTCTTCTTCTTCTTCTTCTTCTTCATTTTGCATGATGTTTTCTCCCTTTTCAGTCCTTATAATTGTGTCTTCTTTCATGTTTTTTTTTACTTTTCTCTCTTTTGCTATTTCCTTTTTCCTTTCCATTACATTCATTTATATTTCACTATTATCTTATATTGCTTTTCATTCTCTTTCATTTTTTTTTTTTGCTCATCACCAATCTTTACGAATTTTATCTTCCTTAATCAATATATTTTGTTTTTGTTTTATTTTGTTAATCATTTAAATCCAAGCAAGGCATTAAAGCCACTGAGATGCAAGGTGACACTAAATGTTAGCGAGGATGCAAAAAAAGAGAGTGACTAATAAATGAATAAGAACTAAAAAGACACGATTGATATTACATGGTTTTGAATGTCAAAGTTAACTGTGATATTTCTCGTCTTTCTTTTCTGGGCCTGCAATCAATACTCTTTCAATATATATTTACCCTATGGTCCTCAATAAAGAAAAAACAGTTGGGAAATAAATGGATATATGCCTTTCCTCGTGTGAAGTAAACGCTATTGTCGAGACTGTAAATTGAACTTACGTTACGTATTAAATATTCCACACTGATAACCATACCTTAACACTATAAAAGCGTATATTGTTTATTTACTTTAAAGACTTCTAAAGATCCGAAAATTGGTGGGTTAAAATTTAGTATAACGGCGTAGGATATTGTTTATAAGGCTTTGATTAATCAGAAGCACTAAACATTTTTAAATAATCATTTGCTGATATAACCATAGAAATTACAATAGTTTATTTCAAATTTATTTTCCAAATCTGAAATCCAGTCTGCATCTATTTTGCATGGAATTCAAGAAAAAGAAGCATGTTTTTGCTCAGGAATTACATGGGTGTGATGAAGATGTGTGGGTTGGAATAAGAACCCCCGCCCAAAAAAAAAAAAGAAAAAAAAAATATTTAGTCAAATTTTGAGAAGCGTTGCCTCGTGAATCTTACAGTTTCACTCTTATAATCAAAAGGCTATCGATTGTAAATATACCAATAAAATATGTAAATACACCAATAAGTTTGTAGCCGAAGCATGAAAACAGTATTACTTTCATACATTGATTATTTTTCTAGGGAATGCTCTTAATTTTTATCTCACGTTATTTTATACCTAGTACATAAATCTATAATAATTTGGCATTTGTTTTGTGCATTTCATATAAGTTCTCAGGGACACACCAACAACACCTCCCACCCACCACACATATTTTTTTTATCTTATTACCTTGATCGGTTTGAAAACCCTTGCAAGTGAATCTTAACTTGTAAGGTGAAATGATAAATAACTATGAGGTAATTTTAAATTGCTATTGTATGTAATATTTATATGCTCTGTTATAATAAATGTATTGAACTGGCTTGTGAATCATTTTTAATGTTTCATATTATTAGGATGCACTTGGATGTGTGTGTGTGTGTGTGTGTGTTCGCGCGCGCGTGTATTTCTAAAGATTTAATGGATATATTTTTAATACTTCAAAAGTTATTATAATGGACATTTCGTATTTTAAAAAGACGCCATATTTTTTTGATGAACAATGGGTATTACCTAGACATTCGTAAAATATTTGTAAAGAAATACACCCTTTCAATCTGTCAGCTGTAAATCCTTCTTTTATCTCCATCAAATGTTTTATCTTCCTTCTGTTTGTTTCAAAATTTGTTCGCATGTCGTTCTATACTCCGACTTTTTTAACATCCGTTTTTATTACGCTAATTCATTGCAAATTCTTTACAATACACTCTACCCAAGAAACCTTTGGCTGACAGATGATAAGCAAGAATCGTCTTCTTGCCCATTGTTAATACAGTAATTACATATTTCTCTTGGCACCGAACTACTGTGACCCAGGTTTGTGTACGCAAAGAATATTAACTGTGTACTTCGTATCATGCTATTCCTTCCTTCCTTCTTTCTCTCATCACTTCATTTTTCTTTCCATACCTCTTTCATTGTGTTATTTTACACTCCCTTTGCCTTTAACCTTTCATTTTTCTTTGTTTCTTTCTTGTTTTTCTTATTTTTTCACATTCTGTATCCTTCCGCTTTAACTGTTTTAATTTCCTTTTTATTCTTTTTCCATTCCTGTCTCTTTCCGTCTTTGTCCGTTTTTCTTTTCCTTTTTTCATCTTTCCCTCTTTGTTATTTTTCATATTCATTTTATATATTTAATTATCACTGTTTCTTTTCATTTTCTTACTTTTCTTCTTTATTGCAATATTTGCTTCTCATTCTTTTTTTCTTCTCCTTCAGTTTATATCATTTATATTCATCGATCATTCTCATTCTTTTCTTTATCTCGCTCATGATTTTCCTTCCTTACTTATTACTGTTTCATTATATTTTCTTTCACTCTAATGCTTTTCTTTCCGTTTTTATTTTATTCGTCTCTTCGTATCATTTGCCTTTCACTAACATTCCTTTTACTTTCATTTTTCTACGTTTATCCTTCTTTCTCCTTTTGTTTTCTTTTTTTTTCTTCTTTTTATTCCTTCCTGATCTTTTGCATTCTTTTTATTTTATTTATTTTTCTTTCTTTCCAATTTTACTTTTTCATTCTTTTTCCTTCTTTCTATTTTGCGATATTTCCTTGCCAGTTTTTATCTTGTTCATTCTCTTTCGTCCTCTCATTTTTTTTATTACTTCTCTTTTAAGTTTTTCTCTCGAATTACCAATTCTAATTTTCCATGTCACATTTTATCATCTTCATTTTGCTTTCTGTCTCTTCATTCGCTAGACTACTCGAGTTCTTTATCTACGTCTAACCGATCGTCTTGATCTAATTACCGCCCAATTATATCTCCATGGTGTTTCTTCATCTTTACAATGCTGTTTTTAATCTCATTTAATTTAAAGGGAAATATAACTTAATATTCTCACTCTGTTTCAAGAAGTAACGCGCAATAAATCAGAACATCTTATCAGCTACAAACAAAATTCAATACCGCGTTTAGGCTTGTGTAGACAATAACTCACTGACCTTTTAGACAACTGATAGTTATAATTCGTAGATGCCGGAAGTAGACAGAAATTTCTACTGTGATGGAAGACTTATGAAAGATATGGCAGGAAGAATGCGCATTGTTTGAGAAAAAGCAAATTACTGTGAAATGAAATGTTGGAAATAGAGGAATATATTTAAGGGGAAATGAAGAAAGTTATTAAATACATAAAAGTCTGAAATGACAGGGATATATAATGAGAATTGAGATCTTGGAGAATTAGAGACTCCCAGGACATAGGGGATGCAGGAAAGTTAGAACAAAACAGCGAGTGAAATATCTAACGATTTGCGTAAATGAAAATCAAAGTGAATACTGTGTATGATATTAAGGAGAATCATGGATTAGAACTAAAAATTACACAAAATTCTGGGAATCCTTGGCGTCTGTATACTGAAGTGTCGTCGTCGTCCTCTTCTTCTTCTTCTTCTTCTTCTTCTTATTATTATTATTATTATTATTATCATTATTATTATCATTATTATTATTATTATTATTATTATTATTATCATTATCATTATCATTATTATTATTATTATTATTATTATTATTCTGCTTCTTCTTATTCTTGGATGGAATCCTGTACAAATAAATAAACAACACCAGTAATTGAAATAGAAAAATATGTGTATTAAACGTAAGAATATAATGAAGATTAGTAGTCCAGAAATGCGGGTTAGTAAAAAAGTATATGTGCAAGTCTCTGGAAGTGAAGCCGTAATTATCTCTCTTTCTGGACTCTCGTATAACTCTGAGTGAACACCCCTCTCTCAACGTTTTTGTCACGCTCTCTCTCCATAGTATAAGTATACTTTGGACGAGTCCATCTTCTGCACAAGGGGCGAGCCCCTCAATATCTTCTATGTGCCTTGTCCTTACAGGAAGTGGGTGATCGTAGTTCTCTACAATATCCTGTCCACTGTAGCAATTAGTAAAATTTTTCATCAGCTTTATCTCCAATCCCTTATCTGCCGACAATTTACAGATACTCAGTTGTTATGAAATGCATTTGTCTGTCTCTTGCTTTAAATATGTTCTGTGAGTACCAAATTTTCCAAGCCCTTCTTCCTTAATATTCTAGAAAGTTAAAGTATCTCTTTCTGATACTATGTAGCAATTCTTCTTTTCTTGCCTTTTTCTCAAAAAAAAGTTATCTTTGCTTACGTTTTCAGTACATGGTATTCTCAGAATCCTTCTGTAGAACCACATTTCTTTTGCCTCGTATCCCTTTTCCATCTGTGATGAGATTGGCCAAAATTCACTGACATAAAGTAAGACAGATATTACATAAGAATTAAGTATTTTATTCTTGGCCTCTTATGTAATTTTTGTGTTTTAATACATTACTTAGCTTTTGAAAGTCATTTTCTCTATGCAAAAGCATTTTCTCATTTCGGTTTTGCCTTTTGTATCCTCTATTACAGTACTTTCTAGATATTTAAATTTTAGCCATCTTTAATTTTCGTATCTCTGTTTTGTAATTTGGATGCTGTATTCTTTCTTTTACTGGGAACCATAATTTCTATCTTCTTAAAATAGATTTGTATACATTTAGTCTAGCTTTCTTTACTACATTTAATAGAAGCTATTTTAGTTTACATTCTGTGACTGCTATATTGTGTAATACGTATGGCAAATGTTGTTATAATAGTAGCCATCACTAATGCATCCGGGAAGCTCAGTTTAACACACACAAGCACACACACACACAACGCACACGCACACACACACACACGTTTGTGTGTGTGTGTGTGTGTGTGTGTGTGTGTGTGATAATGTGTGTGTGTGTGTGTGTGTGTGTGTGTGTGTGTGTGTGTGTGTGTGTGTGTGTGTGTGTGTGTGTGTGTGTGTGTGTGTGTGTGTGTGTGTGTGTGTGTGTGTGTGTGTGTGTGTGTGTGTGTGTGTGTGTGTGTGTGTGTGTGTGTGTGTGTGTGTGTGTGTGTGTGTGTGTGTGGGAAAGATATGGGAAAAGTTTTTGCCTTTAATTCAATGTGGGCTTTTTCAAGGCAAAAAGTGAAATTAATTTATTGAAACAAAGCATTTATAAACAAAAAGCAATATGTCGTTAGCAACTAAAAGAATTTAGAAATGCGATTGTATATTCATCTGGTCAACTGAAAAATTATGTCAATTGCTTTATGTTTGAAGAGAATATTTTCGAGTGTAGAAATATTATTTGCATTGTTGTGTTGACGGGTTCAACCATTTTCTTTTGATTTCGTGATATAATTTTTGTGTACGTTGTTTTGGGATAGTAGTGATACTGTTAGGAAAGGTGATATTGCAAAAACAAACTGGGCGTAGATTAATATTTGGATAATATTCAATGGCGACACTCTCGAGGATTTTTTTTCTGAGTGAATTATTTATTTTTTTATGAGTGCAGCATTGCTTAGCGATACATTTTTAGTTTTCTATTCAGTACAAATAGCCTGTTTCTATTCCCAACGCTTGAACAACCAACATAACCGTAAGAAAAACAGGATACCATCGGATGGAATCTAGTTTCTTTCAATTATTCTACTTGAGATTGATATTGCATAGCTCACTTCATTGGAAACTGAAGATTTATGAGTTCAGGATTCTATATTGGATGTGATTGTCTGCTATTTTTTCAATTACAGTATCTTCAGAAAGATACTTCATGCTTTCTTGTGAAAATTCTTGGAGAAGATTCCATTTGATGCTATCAACAGTTTGATTCTTGAAAGCTAATATGGACCTCACACAAATCCAGTTTGAATCCATAAAATGAGGTTTACTGCTTAGATAAACATGATTAATCAAGTCCTGGATATTTGAGAGTGAAACACCTCAAACATTTGGTGGTGAACTAGAAACTGAAGACTTTTGAGCTTAAAGAGAAAATCTGGAACTAATTAAGGGGAAACTTTAAATTAAAACTCTTTCTTGGACCAGTAAGTGTCTCTGCTTCCAAGAGAAGAGTGGGCATCTTCTTGACAACTTTGTTCAATTACAAATATATGGAGTATTAATTGCCACGTGAGGATTCAATTCCAATCTTGGATGTGCAAGTCTCATTTGAAGAAGATCAGATATTTAAAAGTTAGAGAGTTGGGTTCCTTTATTTGCAAAAGTGTGACATAGAGATTTTCATATTTACACACACACACACACACACACACACACACACACACACACACACACACACAAACATATATATTTATATATAAAGAAATATAATTTTCAGGTGTGCAATATTTATGGGATATGGAGCTCAATATCAGAGATAGAGCCTATGTAAATATAAAAGTGAACATTGAAGTCAACACTCAGAGGCGACAAGCTGTTTCATGCTAGATGCAATCGTCAGGCCTTACGACTGTGTGTAGCATGAAACAGCCTGTCAATCTGATTGACTTCAATCTTTATATATATATATATATATATATATATATATATATATATATATATACATATACACACAGACGCGCACACAGACACGCACACACACACAAACACATATATATATATATATATATATATATATATATGTGTGTGTGTGTATAATACACACACACACACACACACACACATATATATATATATACACATATATATATATATATATATATATATATATATATATATATCTTCTTGTTATGAATTTTGTTTAATATAATTGCTTTTATTGCTCTGATTAATTGTTATACCCCGAAAAAAAAAATATGACCATATATCTGAAACTTTTGTATAATCTTACATATATCATATTTTCATGAAAAAAAAATTCGAAAATAATTTTCTGCGCTCCTTTGGTCATACGTTCCATTCTGTTAATGGTTATTACATTAATCATATACTAATGCCTAAATATGTTCTTTCCTTCCAAGCAGCCCATTAATATTGGCTGCAATTCCATATTCGAATTGAAGCTTACGAAGCTCTGAAACTGATGAGTAAATACAGACAACACCAAGTGCAGTAGATATTATGTAGAATTGCACTTAGAATTCATTGAACATTTTGCTTTTGTAATTAACATCAAAAGTTCAGACGCGGTTCTTATTCAGTATTCAGTTTTGATTCTTGGAATTATTGGCTACTTTTATTTTTTTCCCCAAACCAAAAAAAATCCATTTCTTTAGTTTTTGTCACAAATTGGCTGACACTTTCAATTTGGAATTTAATGACATCTTTCAGGTAAGAATTCATATTTTGCAATTCTACATCAGTCTGTATATAAATAACTATCCGGAAAATTGCAAAATAAAAAAAAGCAGTAAAAATATACTTAGAACAACGCACAACTTCTTTGGAAAATTTTCTTTGGAAAATTTTCAATTCCATGAAGAAAATTGAAAATGATATTTTTCATTTAACATCGAATTACATCTTCCATATTTCCGAGATGTCAATCATTAGGTAAAGAATATAGGAAAATATAAAATACTATGTATAATATTTTCGATATTGTAAAATAATTGAAATATAAATCGATAAATTAAAGGTTACTTTATGTCTCTGTATATATATATATATATATATATATATATATATATATATATATATATATATATATATATATCCCATTATTATGTAACAATTACACCTCTTCTAGGTTTTTGCTTTTGTATACACACACACAGATACACACAACACACACACACACACACACACACACACACACACACACACATATATATATATATATATATATATATATATATATATATATATATATATATTAGTTATAGGAATAATTCAGGGGACT